TAGAAAAAATAAATAAATTAAAGGGACGAGAATAAGTGGGTCTTAAGTCGTTCTTTGAAAATGGTGACAGAAGGTGACTCACGAATAAATAAAGGTAACAAGTTCCACAACTTGGGCCCAGCAACCATTAACGATCGCTCCCCACAAGACTTTAACCGAAAGGATGGACAATAAAGATTGGTTGAGTCAGTTGTTGACCGGAGGGAACGAGTGCAAGTTGCAGAACGAACCTTAATTAATTCGGAAATGTATTGTGGTGATAACTTGTGAATTGATTTGTAAACATATAAAAGTACTTTGAATTCAATACGCTGTTTCACTGGCAACCAGTGAAGACGACGAAGAGTAGGGGTGATGTGATGGAATTTAGGTGTCCCAGTGACAAGACGAGCAGCGATGTTCATCAATAGCTGCAGCTTTCTAATTGATGTTAATGGTATTCCGTAAAGGACTCCATTACAATAATCCAATCTTGATGTAACCAATGCATGTACAAGTTTTGACGTAGCATCTTCATTTAAAAAACGCCTAACTGCCTTGATGTTGCGGAGATGGAAGGATACTACTCTGCATGTGTTTGTAATATGTCTAATCATATGGATAGTGTGGAGTCAAACGTTACACCGATATGTCGCACCTCAGAAGATGGAATGATGTAGGTGTCTCCCACGCGGATGTTTTCAATGATGGGTACATTTAGACGGCGTTTAGGCTTTATATACAGCACTTCTGTCTTGTCTGTATTGCAGCAAAGCATATTGATAGACAGCCATCTATGAACATCATCAATACAACTTTCTAAGTTGCGAACTGTCTCTGCGGCAGCCTCCGGACTAAAAGATGTGTACCATTGCGTGTCGTCGGCATAAATGTGATATTTAATACCGCGTGTTTCTGAATGATGTCACCAAGAGGACGTACCGTACGTAAATAAGGAACAAAATGGGCCCCAAGGTAGAACCTTGAGGAACACCAAAATTCACTGGGACTGGAACTGAAATGGCTGATTCCACTCTAACAGACTGTTGTCTAGATTTTATGTAAGAGTTAAACCATGTTAATACTGTACCAGAAATCCCTAAAGCTGAAAGTCGATCAATGAGGATACTGTGATCGATGGTCAAATGCGGCGGACAAATCGAGGTACACTGATAATGTACAATATCCGTTGTCAAGGGCCTGCAAAATATCATTATTAACTTTCATTACAGCAGATTCCGTACTGTGTGCTTTTCTAAAGGCTGAGTGGTAAGAATCAAATAAATTATTGGAATTTAAAAACTTAACAAGAATTGAACAGACAACTTTCTCAATGATCTTGGCTACAAAAGGGATATTGGTAACTGGCCGATAATTGATAAACGAGTGAGGATCCAATGTTGATTTTTTCAAGAGTGGCGTGATAATACCAATCTTTAAAGAGTCAGGAAAAATGCCGGAGGATAGGGACGAATTGACAAGAGAACGAAATAATGAGACAGCACAATTGAGTTTACGAACAATCTTGGTAGGGAAAGGATCCAAATCACAAGATTTTGGTGCCAAAGATATAAGAAGTTTTGCAACCGTGTCTTCACTGACTGTCTCAAAGCTTTCAAGTTTGGTGATATGACATGAGGGATGAGATGCGGCCGTGAAAGATGAAACTACAGATTTGATAGAGATACTCTGACGCAGACGTTTGATTTTATCAACGAAAAATGTGTTAAAGTCAGTAGCCAACTGAAGCTTACTGGATGATGGTGGTAAGTTTGCCACGGTTGTCCTACCAAGTAGCTTGTTGGCAAGTTTGAACAGAGCTCTCTGATCATGTCCACATCCGTCGATCTTAGACTGGAGGTAAGAAACCCGAGAATCTTCAAGCGTACGGTGGTAAATATTGCATTGAATCTTATACTCGGCGAAATCACAATGATATTGAGATTTTAGCCATTTCCGCTCAGCTTTACGTCTTGCTTGTTTAGCTATCCTACAATTATTGGTGAACAAGCAGGGGATGCATGATTTGAAACGGTCTAGATTTTAATGGGGCCAGTTCATCTCTAAGTTAGGTAAGTGTATTGTTGTACTGGGTTATTGCGTTGTTCACATCCATGTCATCACTAAAATTAGAGAGAGAGAATGCGCAATTCTCCGATCGAGAATGTTGATGTCAATGTTGTTAAATTTTCTAAAAGTCACAACTTTCTTGGCAGGTGCTGGTTTGCGTGCATCGAGTGTAACGTGAAGAAAGAAATGATCAGACAAGGGATATTCATGAACCAGTGAAAGCAATGGGGATTACAATAGGGACTTATAAATTGGACCTAACCTAACCTAACAAACTATTCACGTGAGACCGTCGGCAATGCAGCGTACGCTTGTAGAAAGTAAAATAATAATAAATGCAAGAAGTCCAATAAAAATAGAGTTCAGAATATATGGCAAAACAGCGAGTTCCAATGATATAACAAAGTCCAAAATCGCTTCCACTTGCAATCGTCTGGTTGCACTTGGTACCGGTAACTGTTACAGCAAATCAAACTGTTCTTCTGATTCAAGTCAAGAAAATAGTGGAACCAAAAGAGTAGTAATTCTTCTTCCTTTTTAATTCAGGAAGGTTTCCAGTCAACAGCTTTCTGAAGAAGATTCACATTTATCCTAAGTCTATCCGACTATAGGACTATACTGTGTGCTGGAGTCCCGATCGGGATCTCTCAGTGTTTCATCTTCTCTGCTGTGTCTTTTTCCTTCTTTTCTGTTCTCCTTTCCGTTTCCTTGGATATTCTGGGTATATGTAGGGGATCTGGCTCCACCCTACTCATTCGAATATTCAATTATCATTGGTCCTTTAGCCTCAGGCAACACCCAAAGTCACTGTCCGTTCCCGATTTCCTGTGTCCGGTCATACATCATTTGATGTTGACAAGACGTTTCCTTTACTTCCTCAGGTATGTCGACAGCATACCACCCAACTCTCGGGAGAGGGTTAGCTGGTGGTATCTATTTGACTATAGGAAATGGAATGTTCAATGGGTCATTAACCTACAGGCTAAAACAGTATTCCATTGTATAGCTCTTTGGATAAGGGATACTGGATTAATATAAATAAATAATATAGAATAAATTTAAAGGTACTTAAGAATAACTAAAAAAATATACAAAAATACACCCTACTACATCTATATATACATATATATGGCCATAAATATTGCACTCGAATCAAGAAAAAATATCGGAAACATATACTTTTGTTCTAATTACCGTGTCTGTTGATTTCATATCATTATTTTTTGCAACGGATGCAAATTATTCAACTTTAACTCATTCTTAGGTCAATTAAAACAAGATTATAAAGAATCTATGTCATCATTGTACGAAAACATGCCAAAAACCCATATTAAGAGCACAATTTAATATTTTTGTCTTAGTCTCCCCCTATATAGGGGACACTTTTTTTTTGGTCCCGAAAGTGTCCCCATAATAGGGGTTTCCGTTAATTGGACTACTTTTGGGTCTGCGTCACGGTTTCGAGCGGCAGTAGCCAATCATTTTCATTAAAATAAAGTATATATTTTAAAAAGTTAGATAAAAAGACAATTATTTGAATAGTCATGTAAAATAATTTTCAAATTATACAAATAATTATAAATTAAAATAAATTATAATTTGCGTATAAATGTAGGATGTTTTATTACAAAAATAATAGCTGCTGCAGCAAATATCGTATAGCGCCGCTCTGCGCTCAGAGATCAGTGGAAAAAAAGTTTACTACAGCCTTAGCTTAGAGTGTTTGTATTTTGTAGAGTTAATAAGGTGAGTTATAGTGCCAAAATTATATTAAACACCACCAAGATTTAATGAAAAACGTAAGTTTGAGTAAGTAAGCTTTGTAGTTATGGTAGGTGGGTCATAATTATAAATTCAACCTGTAATTCCCGAGTGAAAGTTAACCATTTGCCCCATTTACTGACGACGGTGAAATTGCACAATCTACCGCAACACATAGGCCTAGGCCTAAGTCGTCTGGAGGTTGAGTGCTGAAGGCTTGGTGAGCCTAGGCATTGGCGGATCTAGGAGGGTGGGTGGGGGTGAATAAGGTGGCTAGCCATCTCCCTTCGGTGACCTCGAAAAAAAAAATATGGTCACTCGTCTTGTGTGTGTGCTTCTCATGTTTACATGTTGTAGGCTACTCTCGTTCATAAAACATACACTTTTATTTTTTAAGCATAACTTCTTTTCAGATGTCATCCAAGAGTGTCTAGCCGGTATTCGTCTAGCCTACCTAGCTAGGCCCTTGTAGATGTCTACTAATTCCAAAAAATCTCAAATGGAAGGGGATGCCTCTCCAAAAACCCATGATCAAGGGGTTGACTTGAGGGGGTGGGTTGGTCCCCTCACTTTTCGACCGCAATATCATAACAAGGTAATTCAACAAAAGGACGCACATC